GTTAAGGTTGTTATAAGGTAATACAAGCAAACAATCATTTTATTTTGTATTTATTGCCTGATGGTTTTTTTGATATACATATACGTGTTCAATTTGTTATGTTAGGGGACATTGGTTATATAAGAGAAGATGGTAACGTGGTTATAACAGATAGAGTAAAAGATCTGATCAAATATAAGGCTTTACAGGTAACGGATATAGTTTTATCTATACAAATTCTAAAATAATTCCTAGAATCTGTGTTTTATTATGGTAACAAATAATAATCATCCGATGCTCACAAACAGAAACACTAGTTACAGCATCTAAATGTCTAACGGATGATGCTGACAGAAGAAACAGAACACAAACACTTACATATGCCCGATGTTAGTTATAGGTAGCAGTTCAGTGTTTCTGCTGTTCCGTTTTGTTTCCTCTTACAGTTGATGTGTTTCCCTCAGTTTTGGTTTGTGACCCGGATTTGTTTCAGTTAAATCGATTTATGACTATTGAACATCAGTATACTACTATTGCCTTTATAGGTATATATGAAATAAACATATCTGCAATTAACGTACAATAAAATCAGGTACGCTTTTGTATAAATCTTGAAAAAAGAATTCACCCATTTGTAGAAAAGAGAGATATAAATCCGATAAGTTTCTAAGGTCACCCATGCATGTGAAGAGGAAATTAATACTCTTTTGAGGAAAAGAAGTTCAAACTGTAAACGTAGGTTTAAAGTATGCAATGGAATAATGTTTGTCCAATACGTCCAAAAAAGCAGACTATTATGTTTACCACAAACCAGTCCATTTACTGATATTAACTGATGTGGTCTAAGCAATTTGGTTAAAATTAATTCGTTATTCCCTGTTCCAAATGCTAAATGCTATTCCACAGCTGCAGACAACGAACAATAAGTTTTAATTTTAAAAGTACTACAGACATGTTTCGTCAACGTAAGACTTGTCATGGTATAGATGGATGGATTGATGTTTAACGTCCAGTGGTCAATATTACATGCAACATGTTGCTGTGATATGAATATGAGACTGTCTTTGTACTAAACCCAACACGTTGAGCCAGATTATAACGTGCGAAATCATACGGTAACAGTTCAGATGGTAACAGTTATTTTAGTTCGAGCAGACTAGTCTTTGCTGGCACTCATAAATGCCACGTGGTTATCGGAGAAGCAGCAAATGGTGTAACCCGTTCAGGGATTGGACCAACGACCTCCCGCTTTCAAGGCGAAAACAGTTCCACTCATTTATAATGTCTTCTGTATAAATGCTCTGAAAATAATTTACTCGGGCATGATTGGGACGACATTTAATGTTATCAACACTACTCAATAATTTTTTTTACTGTTTTTGACCCTATCTAAGACATTACATCGTTACGCTATCAAACTGTCACAAAAAAAATTTCGGAACGACATACTTTTTTTCAAATTTGGACCTGTTATAGAATTTATCAAGACGACCATAAGGTATATTCTTTGAATTTTATAAGATAAGGCGATGAAAGACTGTTATTATCGCTAGTCTTTCACTATAACACATCTTCTTCGAATATAGGTATATGTTTTTAATATTATAGTATACAACTTTGCTGTTTTGTTCAAAGCATTCATTATTTTATAGAGAGCTTTACGTAAAATTGAGCGAAGTATGCATACTTGGGCAGTATTTCGGATTTTTATGAAATTTTGTGTACACGTAGAACAAATTCATCTGCATGTATATAGAATTAATGATGCATTTAGCATTAATTCAAGAATTGAATGCCTCTTTTTGTAATTTTATTGGGGTGTAATTTCGAGCTTCATGAAAAATTTGCTTCGGTTAACGCTTTTACAGCCCTATAAAATTACAAAAAGATGCATTCAATTCCTATAATTACATTTTCATGCTACAACCATGTATGCAATTATGAGTTAAAGCGATATTTCGTTTGTTTTTCTATTGTTGTGACATTTTCATGAGACGCGCGTGCTGTAATGAATGCTGAATTTTATTGAGAAATACAATTTGATATTTGACATTGGAATGCCTCGTTATTACTTTCTGCCAATCAAAAGAGCGGATTATACTGAAACATACATGTAAATTATGTAGTTATAATTAAATAAATTACAATCAATTATCTTTTAGTGTATAGAATATATGTGAAACGCGGCAAATTTTTTTTTCCTTTAATAACCATTTCTCGAAAAACCTCTCCAGAGAATTTTGTAAAAAAATATATGTTGTTGGCTATGAAGATTTTAATGATATGAATAAAGTTAAACAACAGCGAGATTTTCTAGAGAATAAAGGAAGTACTAATACAGAAAAAAATAATTCTTTATTGATAGATTGCTCCTGCTGATCTCGAAGACGTTTTATTAAAGCACCCCGAAATTCAGGATGCAGCTGTAATTGGAATTCCCGACGAAAGAACTGGAGAAGTACCGAGAGCATATGTTGTGCGAAAACCAAATTGTGCTGTGGAAGAACACCAAATACAAAAATTTATGAAAGGTATATTAATATTTCAAAACGACTCATAAATAGAAACTGTTTAAAATGAAACACAATGTTTCTGTTTATCAAAACAAATTTGTTATATCTACATTTGAAAAATACAGATGTGGTATGATAACCAATGAGATAAATATCCACCAAAGGACCCGTATGTGAACATCTACCTGTCATCATACAGAAAAAATGTGAAACAATTAGAAAAACAAACTCCAAAGGCTAGATTTAAACTAATAGAAAAAAAAGGATATGGGATATCTATCCATGACACAAAATCAGTAAATGCACAACAAAATAAAAACATACAAAAAGCAAAGGAACAGCTCTTTTATTGCTGTTCTTCATCTCAAAGTCACAGTGAGACCTCAACACGGAGCAAGACAATAAACAAACATAATCATGACAGACAGAATTCATCCAATGAATTACAACAGGCCCGTACCCCGAGTTTTCTGGTTTGGAAAAAATTTCTTAAGTGAGGGATTTAGAATAAAATAACAACACTTTTCAACTTTTATAGTCATTGTTTGAAATAAAATTTGACTTTAATAGTGTTTCATGAATTTTAAAAAGGATGCTTACGTTTGAAACAGGCACTATCATTGGCAATCATACCACATCTTTTTATGTTTACGTAAAGAATTGGCGGTGTCAAACTTCCTCCCCTAACTTGGAACAGTGGTGTAACAGCACAACATAAGAACGGACGGTAAAAAGCAGTTGAAAGGCTTGACTCATCATATCGGTACTAGGCACCAGGACAACTTACATGTTCTTTAACTAACAATTGTAGTAAAGAAATGAGATAAACAGGTGCAAACGATTAACCGTAGAATCTGACTTCAAAAGAAACAGTTCATTCGGAAATCTTTTTTAACATATAATTATGGATGATTTTTTTTATAAATCTTGTACCTAAAAACAGATAGACGAGATTATTAGTTAATTTATTCAAAATGCTAATCATAGCAGTCATTAATGACTAAGGTTCCGGGTATTGCAAAACATATACACGTTCTGAAACTATAGTTGAACTTTTAAACCAATTCACTGTATCTATGTTAGGTCATTTCAATAAATTGAGAGCCATTTTTACATAACTGTTATGAAACTGTTTCCTTTTCAGATCATGTTGCTGAATTTAAGTTGCTAAGAGGAGGAATTCAATTTACAGAAGCTATTCCAAAGACACCTAGTGGGAAAATACTTAGACGGACTCTAAGACAAGAGTTTTTAAAAAGTTCTTGAACTGTTACTTAATCACTTATTCCGTGTATATCATTGAAAATTATGCTTACAATACAATTTATTTTAAAAGTTTTAAACATATATTTACTCTACAAGCGAACAGCGTGCAATACAAAAATCAATTTGGTTCACATTTTTATAATTATAAATGCCTTCTTGCTACATGTATAAGTACTAATGTTGTTATCATATAAGACTCCTTTACCTATTGGACATTTTGATGTTATCTGATTTTCAACCATGTGGGCTGATTTTGTATGCGGGACAATATATGCTCACCCTCTCAGAGAACCTGGCTTTATAGGAGCATATATTCCTAAAACTTTAGTTTTCATTAATGTCTGTTTATCTGTGCACATGATAGACTAAGAGTAATCTTGTTAGTTTTGATATGTCTTGTAATGGTCTTGCATAACCCTATGAATGGTCCAGTTTGAATTCCCTTTTTAATAACGTTTATCAATAACGTTGCAGGGAGTATCCTTCATCCTTTACTAGATTGCATTGTCTATATCGAGTAACTATGAATATCGACCAGTGTTTAGCCTATTAAAATATCAAAATTTTTATTTGCTGGCCTAAATATACATATAAAAAAGAATATGTGCAGTTCTCAAGATTTGGTAAATATTTAATTTATATCTTTGCAATTTAGATAATTGAACAAAGTCGCCATAGTCCATGAACGCACAAAATAGGGCATGAGCCAAAAAAAAAAGAGAAATCCGTCGTGGTGAGTTGAGTACATGTGTGAGCACATTATAAGTTAGAACGTTTGGTTAATAAATTTTAGACTGTTTTTTAATATGCTCGCAAATATCTAAATACCTAAAGGTAATAAAGACACATATTCCATTTAGTGTTCGGTGTGTCTTGATTTTTGGACTTGAACTGAAAGTATTTTGTGTACAACTAGGAACTAGGAAGATTATCAAGTTCGAAACTTCCAAGTTACTAAAAACATTTTCAAATTCTGTTACAGACACAGAGATTTGGTTAAGAGAATTTGGTATGCCTGTACAAAACGGGATATCACGAGTATGTTTTAAAAGTAAAACTCTTTAAAAAGCTCGTAATGGGTATAGTTTATTGAAGATTATTGGACAATTCAAATAACGTATTCTTAAGGTTGTCTGTATGATATTGCAAGTTCTTTCTAAATTATCTATATCGACATATGAAACATTATTTTTTAATTGAAATAATTGAATTACATAATTGAATAAATAAATCATGATTGCCCGTCTTTACATGCACATTCGTGGTCCTGTATTCTCCAAAATATTGGCATTGTGCAAGGTGAACATTCTTCTAATGGCTCTGATTGTTTGCGATGTTTTGTACACTAAATTCGTTCATAAATATGTAGGACTCAAATCTATGGTGGGTTTCAAATCTATGGGAGATTCCTAATCTATGGCAAATGTGACGTAATGTCATCCCAAATCTATGGCAGAATTTTTCACAATCCTAATCTATGGCAAGTTTTGTAATATCCTTATCTATGGCGGATTTTTGTTCTTTCGAAATCAATTGCAAATTTTGTGAAAATGGAAATCAATGCAGTACATATGACCAATGACCTGTCTTAAACAACTGGAAATGTGCGGGAGCATGTCTATAAACATTTGAGAAATAGACATCCCATAATGGGCAACCAACAAACTTTGTAAATGATGAATTTATATACCTTAATACAGAATTGAAGATTGAAATGATGTGCTCCGTAATAAAAAATGTTCTAATCTGTGCATAGTACCTGTTTAATCCGTTCATTAAAGTAACTAGTAAGTCCTTTAACAAACAAGAAGGCAGTTTTGGTAAAAAAAAACAAAAATGAAGCTTAAATTTTTCACATGAAATTTATTTCATCGTTTATACATCTTTTTTTTTATTTGATGATGATTTAAATCAAATTGGTGTCCAGTACTTTTATCTTTCACTTTATAAACTTTGCCAGTACTTTACGTAGACAGTAAAATATTTACTATATCTCCTTTTCTAAAATTTCCAGTTCTGAAAACAGCGTAGCCCTTATTCATCGCGGGCTTCGGCCGGTACAGCACATTTTGTCCCCCTTCCGGATAATAGGTCACATCTTCCTTTAAACCATCCGCAAATTGTTGTCTAGGGAAATATCTTTATCTGGAATGGTGTTCAAATCTATGGGTTCTGCCATCGGCGGCGACGATATAATAATATGGCGTTATTCAATAGTGACGTTATATGTTAGTCTTTTTCCCGGAAAACTACGCCATAGATTTGGAGACAACAAAATTCTGCCATAGATTTTATTTGTTTGACGTTTGTAACGTCACACTTGCCATAGATTAGGAATTAGCCATAGATTTAGAACCCGATATATATTTGAGTCCTACAAATATATTGGTTAATATCAATTAATGATAACATTGTAAGGAAAACGTATTCTGTTCATCGGGCTAGCTTGGATTATGTACAAGCTTTCATGAATCACATGGTTTTTATGTCTGAACTATTGATCTAATGAGTTAAGTCTAATGCAGTTGATTCAGTAAACAGTTTGTTGCATGGCTATGCTGTAACACCGTTGTAGAACTGAAAGGAATAGTTTATGTTTTATCCAACCATATACTTATTGCATCAGTTAGAAGTCCTAAGACTACATTCCAGTAGCAGTCGTTGTTATATTAAAATTTAGGTTGTTGACTCGGATATCATTTTTAGTTATTTTCTATTGACCTACACGGTGTGGGTTATTTTCATTCAGTATGTCTAGAAATATAATCAATTAATTTAGTAAAGGTGCTATGACGGTTTAATTAAGGTTTAAAACATTATAAAAATTATAAAAAATGCATATAATTTTACCTTTAGTTTGTAAATTTCTATTACAAACAAAGACATTTTTGTGATTGTTTATAAATTTATAGTATGATTAAAAATGGAGTAGAGAGCTATTGAGTGCAGTTAAGTTAAGCTACGAAATATTTTTTTTAGGTTTAAATTTCAATGTAAAATTATTCTTTTAGAAAGTTTTTATTTTATCAGGAAACTCCATTTCTTCTTTTTAGCTCACCAGGCCCAAAGGGCCAAGTGAGCTTTTCTCGTCACTTGGCGTCCGTCGTCCGTCGTCGTTAACTTTTTACATTTTGAACTTCTCCTTGAGAACCACTGAATGGAATGAAACCAAACATGACATAAATGTTTCTTATGAGGTGCTGACCAAGTGTTTTTACTTTGTAGCTGATCCATCATCCAAGATGGCCGCCAGCGGGTGATTTCGTTTAACATAGGACCCTATGGTCAATACATACAAATGTCTACTTTTAGAGAACCTCTGAATGGAATGAAATAAAACATGGTATGAATGTTCCTTATGAGGTGTTGACCAAGTGTTTTTACTTTGTAGCTGATCCATCATCCAAGATGGCCGCCAGCGGGTGATTTCGTTTAACATATGACCCTATGGTCAATACATACAAATGTCTTCTTTTAGAGAACCTCTGAATGGAATGAAATAAAACATGGCATGAATGTTTCTTATGAGGTGTTGACCAAGTGTTGTTACTTTGAAGCCGATCCATCATCCAAGATGGACGCCAGAGAGGGACTTAGTTTAACATAAGATCCTATGGGAAATACATACAAATGTCTTCTTTAAGAGAACCACTGAATGGAATGAAATAAAACATGGCATGAATGTTCCTTATGAGATGATGACCAAGTGTAACTTTGTAGGCGATCCATCATCAAAGATGGCCGGCAGCGGCGAACTTCGTTTAACATAAGACCCTATGGACAATACATACAAATGTCTTCTTTTAGAGAACCACTGAATGGAATGAAACCAAACATGGCATGAATGTTCCTATGAGGTGCTGGCCAAGTGTTGTTACTTTGTAGCCAATCAATCATCCAAGATGGCTGCCAGCGGGGAACTTAATTTAACAAAGGACCCTATGGACAATACATGCAAATGTCTTCTTTTAGAGAACCACTGAATGGAATAAAACCAAACATGGCATGAATGTTCCTTATCAGGTTCTGCTCATTTGTTGTTACTTTGTAGCCAACCAATCATCCAAGATGGCTGCCAGCGGGGAACTTATTTTAACAAAGTACCCTATGTGAAATATATACAAAAAAAAGTAAAATCACAAAAATACTGAACTCCGAGGAAAATTCAATCGGAAAGTCCCTAATCACATGGCAAAATCAAATGACAAAACACATCAAACGAATGGACAACAACTGTCATATTCCTGACTTGGTACAGGCATTTTCAAATGTAGAAAATGGTGGATTGAACCTGGTTTTATAGCGCTAAACCTCTCACTTGTACGACAGTCTTATCAAATTCCGTTATATTTACAACGATGCGTGAACAAAACAGACATTATAAATAAAATAGTCAAAATATGGGTACAGCAGTCATCACTGTGTTACAATATCAAAACAAACAATTATTTACAAAAAAAAAGGGCACAAAAGCATCTATCAAATTAAAAACCACATACAAATGTCTTCTTCTATAAAACCGCTTAATGGATTGAAATCAAACATGGTATGAATGTTCCTTATGAGATGCTGACCAAGTGTTGTTACTTTCGTAGCAAATCCATCAACCAAGATGGCTGCCATTGGGGGACTTAATTTAATAAAGGACCCTACGGGAAATATATACAAATGTCTTCTTCTAGAAAACCGCTTAATGGATTGAAATCAAACATGGTATGAATGTTTCTTTTGATGTTCTGACCAAGTATTGTTACTTTGTAGCTGATTTGTCATCCATGATGACTGCCAGCAGGGAGAGTAAGTTTAACATATGACCCTATGGGAAATACATACAAATGTTTTCTTCTAGAGAACCACTGAATAGAATGAAACCAAACATGACAAGAATTTTCCTAATGAGGTGCTGACCAAGTGTTGTTACTTTGTAGCCGAAACCATCATCCAAGATAGCAGCCAACGGGGGACTTAGTTTAACAAAGGACCCTATGGGAAATATATACAAATGTCTTCTTCTACAAAACCGCTTAATGGATTGAAACCAAACATGGTTAAATGTTTCTTTTGAGGTGCTGACCAAGTGTTTATACTTTGTAGCTGATTTGTTACCCAAGATGGCTGCCAGGAAGGGGAGTAAGTTTAACATAGGACCCTATGGGAAATACATACAAATGCTTCTTCTAGAGGAGCACTGAATAGAATGAAACCAAAAATAAATGAAGATTGAAATGATGTGCCCCGTAAACGATCCTTATGAGGTGCTGATGAAGACCTTAATACATGTATGTTTATAGATTGAGATATACAATTACCTGAAAAAATATCAAGAAAAGAAGATATACCCATAAGTCAACATGAGCAAAATTGTCAATTGACATCTTGTTGGAGTTATTGTCCTTATAAAGTCATTTTCTTCAATTTCAATGAATTTATTGGTAATTTATGTAAACTCTACAAAAGTCATATTTTTTTTATGCTTTTGATTTAATTACGGGACCAATATTTTACCAAATTTGGCCTCAATCATTATTAGGGTATCTGATATGATTTTAATCTATTTTTACATGATTTCCAAAACCAAAGTAGAATCAGGTGAACGACACAGGATCTTGAGAGCCTCTAGTTTATATTCTGTTATTGTCGTTTTATGGTATTGTTCTGTACTACATGTAGGTGTGTTAGAGGGTTAAAGAAATTTATTTTAAAACGGTATGCAACGTTTTCACCGAACAAGTAACATTGGTTACATTTATCTCATCTCCTTAAGTAGTGCTATTCATTTTCTTAGTGCATACAAATCTATTTGATTGGTAACTCTATTTGTTGTTATTGGTATCAATGTTTCATCACAGTTTTCCATAGATTATCAACCCAGCGATTTTAATTTGTAAAGTAAAATAATATAAACAGTCAAACATGTAACGTTTATTATAAAAATGTGTAAGCTAATGTAGACTATATTTATTTCAAATGGATTTAAGTGTTCATTCTTACACATCCGATGAATCGAAAAATAGTAATAACATTTAGTTTGAGGAAACAAAGTTTAAATTTAGGCCGAGAATGTTTATTTGTCGCTAGTTAAATTGTTTGTGTAATTTGTCACAGTTTTTGCCTATCCACTTATGATTTTTAATCGTCTCATTGAAAGTTTAAATCTAGCTTTGTAAAATGTTGAAATATGAAAGTACATATGAAATAACAATATCTCAACTAAAATTTGTCAGCATTTAATGTTTTTTTAC